TGAAGTCAAAGAAGAAATCAAAGCCAAAAGTATGACATATTTAGAAGATACTGCTAATAAAACTACATATCAGAACCAGCAGGATACCGCTAAAGAATACTCAGAATTCATAGTCTTAATTTTTCCTTTTTTTCTTGTTTATCAGTATCAACATTTCAGCCTCTAACTCAAGAAAAAAATTTTTTAAAGGAAAGCAGGAGGAAGATTTTAATAAAGGTAAATGCATAAATTGATGGATTAGGAAGGATAATTACTAATAAATGGATCCCATAGATGGTTCTTTGGGAAAGAGGGATAGATAACTTGTTAGCTAACGAATCAATAAGAAATAAGGGCAGGGGAAGCACAAAATGTACAGTATAAGAAACAAGGGTGAGATAATTTAAAGAATTTATTTTGTGCAGCCACATGCAAGTGAAGTTGAAAATCTGGATAAAACGGGTACTTTTCAGAGGGGAGGGGATAGCTCAAGTGGTGGAGCGTGTGCTTAGTCAGCATGCATGAGGTCCTGGGTTCAATCCCAGTGCCTCCTCTAAGAATAAATAAGAATAAAGCTAATTACCTCCCCCAACCAAAACAAAAATGGATACTTCTCTAAAAGAACAATTTACAAACATCATTCAAGAAGCGGGACAATTGGATCAGTTATTACAGAAGGAATAGAGAACATTATCTAAAGGCTACCTACTCATCCCAAATAAATGCTGAGCCCAGACTGTTTCATGGAGGAGCAACCAATCTTTAAAGAAAAGATAATCCGTTTCTACTTAAGCTGTCATAAAGCCCAGAGAATGAAGGGAAAGCCTCCATTGTCCTTCTGAAGCAAGTGTTAACAGTGATCGCAAAACCCAACAAAAACTGTTCCAAAAAGAGAAAACTGAAGACTCAAAAAATCTAATCCCACAGTGTGTTATAACGAAGTATTTACCATGACCAAGTGGGAACCAACCGGGAACGCAAGGATGGTTCAGTATTGACATCTAGATCATTATTCCTATTAATAGCTCGAAGGGAAAAAAAACCATATGGTCAGTTCCACAGACACTGAAAAATCACTTGGTAAAGTTCAGATTGCATTCTTGATTTCCGAAATTCTTAACAAAACAGGAATAGATGGACACTCATTTAACCTGATAAAATATCTGCCCCTAAACCAGCATTTTGGGTAATGGGGAAAACCTGGAAGTTTTCTCATTAAAGTCAGAGACAACACCAGATTGTCTGTTGTCACCACTATTAATTTTCATTGTTCCAGGGATAGTAGCCAACACTATTAAATAAGACAAATCAAGGTATAAAATGTCCAAAGAAGTAAAATCATCACTTGCAAATGATTTGATGGTATAACTGGAAAACCTAAGAGACTAAATTGAAAAACCATTACAAGCAAAGAATTTAGTAAGGCGGCAGGAGTTAATAGCCTTTGTATAAACAACCTCTATGGATGGGAGAAAAGACTCACCAGGAAAGGTTAACTTTCCAGAGGAAGTAAACTTTAAAAATGTGCAAGATCTAAACGTAAGAAATACTGAAACATTTCCGACGGACACAGAATGGAAGTCTGAACGAACAGAAGGGCACAGATCATGTCACTGGAGGGAAAGTGATCATCATTAAAATGTCATTTCTTCCTGAATTAATTTATAAATTCCGTGCAATCCTGGTAAAAACCCAAACAGGACGTTGTCCTTACCTAGATAGGGCGATTCCATAGTCCAGACAGAAAACTAATAGACCAGCTAAGGAAATTCGGAGTAAGATGGTGGTAACACGGAGCAAGAAGCACCACCAACTGCTAAAACGTATTAAACACAAGCTACAACATGGATGAACCTTGAAAATGTTATGCAAAGGGAGAGACGCCAGTCCCAGAGGCCACCCACTGTATAAGCCCTTTCTTATCAAAGTCCAGAACAGGGGACTCTGTGGAGAAGGAAGGAGGTGGGGGGATGAGGGAGTGAATGCTGATGGGTAAGGGATTCCTTCTGAGGTAAATAAATGCTCTTAAATAGGTTGTGGGGAGGGGACGGGATAGCTCAGTGGTAGATCATGTATGTGCTTAGCATGCACGAGATCCTGGGTTCAATTCCCAGGACCTCCATTAAAAATAAAATTACAATGAGGTGCCACCTCACACCACTCAGAATAGCCATCATCATTCAAAAGCCCATGAATGATAAATGCTGGAGAGGGTGTGGAGAAAAGGGAACCCTTCCTACACTGCTGGCAGGAATGTAGTTTGGTGCAGCCAGGAAAACAGTATGGAGATTCCTCAAAAAACTAAAAATAAACCTACTATATGATCCAGCAGTCCCACTCCTGAGCATATATCCAGAGGGAACTCTAATTTGAAAAGATATACACATCCCAGTGTTCCTAGCAGCACTATTTACAACAGCCAAGACACGGAAGCAGCCTAAGTCTCCATCCTCAGATGACTGGGTAAAGAAGCTGTGATCTATTTATACAATGGAATACTACTCAGCCACAAAAAGAATGAAATAATGCCATCTGCAGCAACATGGATGGACCTAGAGATCATCATTCTAAAAGAAGTAAGCCAGAAAGAGAAAGAAAACTACCATATGGTATCACTCATATGTGGAATCTTAGAACAAAACAAACAAACAAAATAAGACACCATGGACTCATCTACAAAATAGGAACAGACTTGCAGACTTAGTAAACAATCTTATGGCTACTGGGGGAAAGAGGGGTGGGAAGGGATAAATCTGGAAGTTTGAGATTTACAAATGTTACCCACCATATATATAAAAATAGATTTTTAAAAAGTTTATTCTGTGTAGTACAGGAGCTATGTTCAATAACTTGTAATAACCTTTAATGAAAAAATATGAAAACAAATATATGTATGTGTATGCATGACTGGGACATTGTGTTCTACGCCAGAAATGGACACATTGTAATTGACTGTACTTCAATTTAACTAACTGACTGTGGTGATGGTTGCAAAATTCTGTAAATACACTAAAAACTACTGAATGTACACTGTGTGGACTGTATGATATGTGAATAATATCTCCATAAAGCCACTGAAAAAAAATTTAATGTATTATACACTACAGTATTAAAACAGTATTGCACTGATACCTGAACACACTTGGAGCCGGACTCTCACACTACATAAATCACCAATCAGAGAGCATACATTTAAAAAATTAAACCTGAAAAGAACTAAAAGAAACCTTGAGGAAGCCTTTTTTAAAATAAATAATCTCAGCATGAGGAAGGACATTCTAAGTATGACACAAAAATCTGAAGGCCATAAAAGGAAATACTAACAAACTTCACTTCACCAAGAAAATTCCTCCCTGGCAGAAAATGACAAATGACATTTTGGGGAAAACATCCACAATTCATGACAGACAGAAGTCTAATTCCATCATATACAAAGAGCTCCTTCAAATCAATAAGGACAAAGCCCAGTGGGAAAAACAGACCAAGAAGATGAACAGATAAATCAGTCGAACTGCATCTGTCAAAGTTACAAATGTACCTACCTTTGACCTGGTATTTCCACTTGTGGAAACTGATTCTGTAGTTTTATTCACACCTTTGTGACACAGACACATGACAAAGTTTGCTGCTGCATTGCTTATAATGGCAACAAAGTAAATATGGTTCTCCTTAGGGGAACTGTTCAAATAAATGATGGTCATCCGTGCTATGAAAAACTATACAGCAAAGAAACAAGGAAGCTCTTTAGATGCTGACCTGCAGGATGTACCGCTAAGTGAAAGAGTGAGGTACAGGACAGTGGGTAAAATAGCGTATACACACGTCTTTGCTGGGATGCATACATCTCCTGGGGGGACACACAGAAAGCTGACTATGCTGGCTGCCTCAGCGGGGAGAGGAAGGCTTTTGTCCCTATACCCCTTCATTCCTTTTGGATACTGGACCATGTGAATATATTACCACATCTAAAGAGAAATACATATTAAAGAAAGGAAAAAGCAACTGTAAGCACAATGATAAATGCAGCTGACCCTGTACTATAGGAAAGAGGCAATAGGGAAGGGTGAGGACTGTGGTGAACTGGAGATGAGTGCCCCCAATTCTAACCAATAGCTGCAGTACAGGACCATGGGCCTGTAACCAAGTCCTCTGATTTGTTTTCAAGAGACACTAGATCCAGATTTTTATACAAACCTCCCTGTTTTTTAATGTTTCTACATATTTAAAAAAATCAGATCAGAGGGTTTGGGGTCCCTGTCCTAGGTGGTAAAGGAGAACAGAGCTCTGGAGGTCACCAAACTCCAGCATCCTAATTTGACACACTGAAAAAGCAAGGCCCAGAGAGGGAAAGAACATGCCCAAGATCACACAGAGACCAAAGCCCCAAGCTGGGGTCCCTTTCAGGACTACAGTTGACCCTTGAACAATGCGGGGCTTAATTCAAGTAGAACTTATAGTTGTCCCTCCGTATCCTCAGTTCCTCCCCATCTGCGGATTCAGCCAACCACAGACCCTGTGGGACTAGTTACTCCTGAAAAAATCTGCGTATGAGTGAACCGGCCCAGTTCAAACCGGCACATTTCAAGGGCCAACTGCAGTTGCTGCCCCGTTAGCCTCCTCTCTGTGGACGCAGGAAAATGATGATGAGAGAGGCAGACATGGCACGTGGTGGGGTCACCGAGGCAGTTCTGGGGTTGGGGCCGTGGTGCTGGCAGGAGTCAGAGAAGGCTGTTGGGGAGGAGGTCAGGCCCAGCAGGAGTCGACAAAGGGGATGGGTGCCGCTGTCTGGGAGGGACCCTGGGGAGGCAGCCCAGCATGGGCGAAGGCCTAGGGGAAGACAGACCGTCCAAAGCAGAGTCGTGGTGGGTGGATGTGCTGGATGTGCTTCCTTGCCTGGGAGCTGCCCTGCAAAGGCCTGAGGCAGGAAGAGCTGTGTGTGTCCAGGAGAGTCCCGTGGACTCAAGGGGGCAGAGGGAGGGGCAGGGCAGGGGCCGGGGCCGCACAGAAGGCATGCCACTCACACTTGCGCAGCTCCAGGCTCTTGCTCGGGCAGGCCAGGTGCTGGCCTGGGGCGTTCTGGGTCCTCTGCAGACAGGCCAGCATGGCTGAGCTGGGGGCCCGCGGTGGGGCACGCTCTGCGGCAGGGTCCCTGTGAGGAGGGAAGATGAGGTGCTGGTCACCCAGGGCTGCTCCGTGCCCACCTCCCACCTCCACACCTGGCCCTGCTCAGTGTTGGGGTCTCCTTCTCCACAGGCCTGCTCAGATCCTCACCCGCTCTGTGCGCCCTCAGCAGGCTGTCTGTCCAGGGCTGGTGGCCTCCAGCTCTTGTAACCACCTGCCAGCTAATCTGTACCAGCCCCCCTCTGGCCGCCACCTTCAGCCTTGAGCTCATCAAGGGCAAAGACCCCATCTGGTCATCTTTGGAACTGACACTGAGGGATGCCTGAGAACTGCCAGGGGGCGAATGAGTGTTTCCATTTATGGCAGTGTTGGTCTGCCCCTTGCCTGGGGACTCTCACAGTGCCACTGGAGAGGGGATGTCCAGGAGGGCATCCCTGGGGGAGCGAGGGGTGCTTGAACCCTGACCTGTGCTGAGCCTGACTGTGGTCTCAGACTGAGCCCTGAGGCCAGGCCCCAGGAGCCACCAGGGCTCCCTGACTGAGCTTCCTGCCCTAAACAGAAAGGGCAGGGCCACCCAGGGTACCTCTGCCCTGCCAGGCTGGGAAGAGGTCCTGCACAGGTGACAGCTCAGACTTCCCCACTTGTGCTTATTCACCCAGATTCACACAGAAACAAGCCTTTTTATCTTCACAAGACCCACTTTCCCGAGAACCCAGAGCCCCCGAGGGGCAGGGTGACGTTGGCAGGGCCTGCTCCGGATGGACAGGGAGAGGGTGGGACGGTTCCTTCCAGGCCCCTCCCTTCGAGAAGGTAGGCCTAGGTGTGAGCTCAACCCTGGGCACTCCTGACGTCCACCCAGCCTGGGGGTGCCCCCCTTCCTGCCACACCCCCCCCTCCACCCCCAAGGCCTGAGTCCACAAGCTGGGAAACAAAGGAGAAGAAAGCAGAGGGGAGGGTGTGTTGAAGGGGAAGAAAGGGAAGTTATTTAATACTAAACAGGTGTCTGGAGCCCGGAATTCTGCCGCTTTCTGCTAATAATGAAGTATTCATGAGGAAAAGCCTTTTTTCACTACTTTCTTAAGATACTAATTTCACAACAAGCTCCTTGTTACCGCGCAATTATTCCAATCTTGTATTTCCCCGAGACGGTTGCAGCCTCCTGTCTGTCCTGGACTCCCGGTAAATGAAAGACAATCACGTAACCACCTTTCATTATGCGCTATTTTACTTTCAGCAGAGGTACCCTGAAAGAAATGATTTACTTTGAAAGGGACTTTTATTCAGTTTCAAAACCAATTTTCTCCTATTACTGTCTCAGGAAAAAAAAAAAGAGAGCAAGAGAGAAAGTGGGGGGCGGATGGGGGAGGGTCGGTGGTTCTCATGCCCCCTCCCCCGCAATCGCCAGCCTTAACGCAGCCACGCAATGAAAGCTGCGGTATCCACTTCCCGGCTTTGATTTCTGGTAATTTTAAATATGCCATTACAATCAGGCAGAAATTACACAGTTTAAAAAGGGAATGAAGTGGGGCTCATTGCAGGGATAAAGCCCTTGACTGCGGGAACGAGGCACCGCTCCTTGGGGACTTGATACGTGAGCGGGCAGCGGCAGCAGCCTCGCTGGGGCCCTTTGGGACACACCTGCACACAGGGGGGCAGGTGGCCTCCCTGGACACTCTGGCCCACCCTGAGTGACGTGCCCCTCCTTGCCCTCTGGCACCCCCTCAGCACATGCGGGCAGGCCACAGACGTGCACAAGAATGCTGTGGGTAGGGGCAGGGGCCAGTTTTGTATCATTTCCATCATCTACAAACAAGACAGACAAAACAGAGCCCTCTTACTGGTCTTAAAACTTCACTCTGGTCTCAGAATAGCACCTAACCCTCTTTACCTGGCCCTCAAGGCCGCTGTGACCTGCCTCCCCCCACCCCACCCCCACAATCTCTCCTAGCCCTGCCTCACCCAGGCAGCCACCCACCTCCAAACCTTAGCCTGTGCCCTTCCCTCTGCCTGCAGTGCAGCCACCTGATCCATTTTAACTCTGGCTCCCCTCCTCTGGGCATCCCCGCCTTGCAGTCCTAATCACACGGAGTTGTAATTGCCAATTTTCATGTCTGTCTCTCTCCACTGGACTGTGAGTTTCTCAGGGGCAAGGACCATGTCTTATTTGTCTCTTTCTCCCCAATGCCTGGCAAAGAGTAATCACTTAATAAATAGGTGCTGAATGAATAACTGAATCAATGAATCAGTTATTGTCAGATGAAGTGACTGAGGCCCAGAGAAGCCAAGTGTCCTGCACAAGGTCACACAGCAAGCTGGAGACAGGACTGAAGCAGGTGCCTAGAATACTCATGATCTTCCCAGGACCTCTACCCCTCTTGCCCCTCCACCCCCTCTGTGCTTGGCAACATCCCATCTGCGGAAAGCCAGCCCCTAAGAGCCCCTACCCTGGCTCATTACATTCCCAGCCGAGGACCATCTGGGGAGCACTGCTCATTTTGAAACCCTGTCTGCAAATCAGGCTGTTTATAAGCCCAAGGTCTTTTGTGACTTTAATAATAAAAAAAAAAAAGGGAGGGAGAAGGGAAGTGTCCGCAAGCCTCAATGATTAGAATGCTTTGGCACCATCCCTGACACGGGAGCTGATAAGACGCCTTATCTCCGAGGCACCCCTAGGAAAAGGTCCCCTCCACCAGATAACACCCCCAGCTGTCGATATGCCCTTTCATAGCTGAGGATTTAGATAAAGGAAATGTGACAGGGGAGGGGAAAGAAAGGAAGGAACTTTCCAAGTCCGAGGAAGAATCCAGTCTGTGCTGCTCGCCTTGGCAGAACAATGCATGGGAGGAGGATGTCTAAAGGCTGTCTTTATATTTATTAAAAGAACAATCGGAATTGAGGCCTTTGGCCCTGCCTGCCTTTTGTCATCTCTCCCAGCCTGTCTGGCTGCAGCGGGTGTCGGGGAGCCACCTCCACCACCCCCAACCCTGCCAGTGGGAACGGGGAGCTTTAAACTTAACAATACACGAGCTGGTGCTAATAATAGCAGTGCACATGTACTGAATGCTCCCTTGGTGCCCTGCCCCACGTGCATCCTGTCCATTATAGCTCACCACGTTCTCCTAGCAGCCTCTGTGGTAGGTTGTTTTTAGCCCCATTTCACAGATTAGGAAATGGACGCAGAGAGGGGAAGTAATCTGTCCAAGGTCACACAGCTTTTAGGTGGCGGGGCCTGAGGGGGTCAAACCCAGCCAGGGCCTGCCCCCTCAGCCCCACAATGTATGGCCTCCAGCCTGGGCTCCACTGTTGTGGGGGGGCCCCGTCAGCCCGCAGATCCCAGACAGCTGGGCAGGAAGAAGCAGAAGCAAGGTCCTGCTTCTCCCCAGAGCCTGAGTCTTTGATTCTCCTCTGGGAGGGGCTGGGATCACAGAGAGGGAGATGAAAGGAGGGCCGGGAGGAAGAGGGGCCCCCAGGAGGCCACTGACGCATCCCATAAACACTCACGGACAACAACGACGCACATGAAGTCGCGAAGTCCACATCAGGCAGAACAATACTGAGGCGGTGAAAGTGAGGCCCTTTCGAGGTGGCTGTCATTTACCGAGCCGTTCATTCATTCATTCATTCATTCGTGCAGCAAACATGCCCTGAGCATCTTCTGGGGGCCAGCCCTGTGCCATGTGCTGGGAGGACAGAAACCAGTGAGAACATCCTGCCAGAAGAGATTATTCAACCGGGACTGGTCTCCCACTTCCAAGTCCCACCTGCTACAAGTGGACTTCCTGGGCCTCTCTCTCCAGGCTCCAGTGTTTCTCTGAAGCAGCAGGCGGGCAGGACTTTCCCCCAGGCATCCTGTAGGTCAGCAGTCTGCCCCTCGCCAGGCTGAGCAGGCCCTGGAATGGGTGGAATGCGGGGACGTACTTGGGCTGCAAAACAGGGTGTGACCCAGTGAAGGCCACAGGCAATGCCAACTGCCAGCAACCACCCTCCCCTCCTCCCCAAAGCGGCCCACTCTGGCTTCTGTGGCTCCACTCAAGGCCAAAGACTGGCTGTGGCTTAGAGAAGGTCACGCCAGGCCTTCCCGGCGTGCAGCGGGACCAGGAGTTCAGAGCAGAGGGCCGGCCCTGGAGGCTTTAGGGTTGCATCTGCCAGGCAGAGGCCAAGCATGGGGGTTCTGATTGACTGAGTGACCTTAAGGACGTCACAGCCCTTCTCTGAGTCTTGGTTTCCCTCACTGAATCTCGATGGGGAGTGGCCACGCCTTCAGGCTTGGACACAAGGGGACGTGTGACCATGTGGTTTTCAAACACAATGCAGTGCACAAGGTGTGTGCAAGACACAGGCCGAGTCCACACAAAGGTGTTCGAGATGCAGTCTGTCCTTGAGGGATTTGGAATGTTGAGTGGGACGAGCCAGGAAGCTGGTAACACCCAGCATGTGAAGTGCTGAGTGGACAGTCAGGACTGAGTTCCCTAAAAATAGGCGAGGCGATACCTGCTAGGCCCAGGGCCTCACAACCTTCACTGGGAGGGGACAGGAGCCCTCCCCAGCTCTTACCTCCATCCCCCTTGCTGCACTGGAAGCCTGTCCTGGCCCCAGACCCTGCCCCTACATGCAGGAAAGAATTTGAAGTAGGGCCTGGGGAGGGGAATGAGCACTGGATTGCGAGCTTGGGAGAGCTGGGGTTGGATCCTGGCTGTGTGGCCCTGAGTGGGTCACTTCCCTGGGCCGGTCCCCACTGCCACTAGCCAGGCCAACACAAAGCCTTAGAAAGCTCAATGCCCCCTAAACTGCAAGGGGCAGGATTAACCTGCCCTTGGCCAGGACAGAAGGGTGGAGGGACCCTTGCCCAGGAGTGCCGTAGGGAATCGGGGTGCATGGCACCCCCCACCCCGATGACAGGTGGAGCCACTGTCTGTCTCTTTCACTCCTCTGGCTCTATTGCTGTTGCCTTCTCCATCTGCCTCCCTATCCTGGTGCTTTCCTTCTTTCCTGTCTCTTTCTCACTCCCTTCCTAACCCCACTCTCCCC